AGGCAGAGTACTCCTTTTTACAAGCTGGCATGTGCCTCACAAAAACATGCTAAATATTGGATTGGGACGGAAATTGCCATACAGTATGAATACAGTCGTAAACATGGCTATGGGATATTATCACAGTCCAAAGGAAGAGCTGTAATGCTTCATTTGCTTACCAAACATCTATTCAGAAATGGCTGGCTTCATGTAAACATTCATTATTAACCACTAGCAAAATATATTTTTTCTGCAACATGAAGACTACTGAGACTGAAGAACAAGAGCATCAGCTGGACATTTTGTTCCACCAGAACAAAATATTTTGGCTTCTACAGTAAATTGCAAGTGTGAAGGTTGTAGAATATGTAATCCTACTATTTTTTCAAGTTTTTAATGCCTACAGCTCTAGTTGTTATTACCATACGCATTATAATTCAAGAACCCCGTTTGTTTTTTTACAGAGAGGGCTGCATCTTGTCTGGAGAATTAGCTCAGAAAGCAATACCAAGACTTATGTTTAAGGTAGGAGGCACAAAGCACGCATTTCTTCTATTTCTTCTATGCTAATTCCACATGGAAGAGTGAATCTAGCTATATGTGCTTTGATAGCTAGTCTTATAGATGCAGAGAAGTCTGCTATAACAATTCTTTCCCTGTATGTCTAAAAATCTGCAAAGTGTTACTGTTCAAAAAAGGTATATAAACCTCAAATATACCTTGTACTACCTAGAGACATTCTGTTCAGAAGTTGTTTTTCTACAACTATACTTAGTAATAAAAATGAGTTGAGAAAAATGCGTGGAGTATAATGTCATGAGTCTTCAGTGAGGCTGGCTAGGAACCAGCAGTGCCATATAGGGATCACAGTATTCCCTAATTAGGATATTTCCATGGCTGGACCTAAAGACCTTGGAGAGCAGCTGCTAATCATTTATTATTCTCCTTTCCATGAAAGTCAGACAGAAGGAGATGAGAGCTGAGGTGGAGGAAATTGACAGTAATTGGAAGTTACTTTCTCAGGATAGTCTCACTGGGGAGATCAACAGAGTTTAAGCTGCAATTTTCTGAGGACAGATTTGGTTCCTTTCCTTTCTGCAGTTACAAGATATCCTTATCCTGCAAGATTACAATTTGCTACTCAACGACATACCATGTGTTATTTTTAAACTACCATACACACGGCACCTGTCTTTTTTAATCCTATAGTCAATTTTTCAGATAATGGAAACTGGTATAGCTACTACTTATAGCTCCTAGTGTAGCAAATATGTTTCCTGTTGGTCTACACAAACAGAAAAATGGTATTTTTCCCATGACTTCAGTGTGGGTAAAATTTTAGAACTTCAATTTTACATGTGAAAATAATCAACTAAAAAGAAGGAAAGAAAAGACAGTGATGTGTAAGGGGGGGAATCGTGAACCACACATTCTTATATAAAAACTTTGGTTTTCATTTTTTTTGTGTTTTTGTTTGTTTGTTTGTTTCTATTTTTATTGGCTTGTTGATTAAGTGAAGTTCCTAAATAAATAGACACTGCTTCTTTTAAACTATCTCAGGAAGCCTGACACAAGGTTCATAATAGTGGTAAAGACATGCAAAAATTTCTTTGCTTTAAAATTGCTGATAGTTTAGTTCCAGAATTTTAGAAGACAGTGTCTGATAGTTTCAAAAATAAGTCCTGTTAAGGGTTTTGAACTAATGAACGCTGTTGATTTTAACAGAAGATGATGATGCATGGCATAGATTGGATTCTTATTTCTGGTGCTGTGTGTTGCTTCAGTTTCATTTTTTCAAATGTATGCTTCTTTACTCAGAATTATTAAAAATTGTATATGTATCCGAAGGAAATACTTTATTATCATATAAGGAGTAGAGTTCATTAAAAAAAAATCATACTTGTGATTAATATTTATTTGAGTCAACTGCACATTTTAAATGAGCTCTACCATCTATCCTTTGTTTTCCTGTTGATGATCCTGACCAGTACATCAATAAACAATACTGCAGGTATGAGAAAAGTATGAAATATATCTTCTATGACTTACTGGGTACAAAACTGTTAGCTAAATATGGAATGACAATTTAAGTGTGATGTAAAAGACAGAATAAAACCTGGTTGTTTGGAGAACTTAAGCTGAAACTGAGTAATTCTGATATAGAATAGCTAGGAGTAGGTTGGATTGGGGTGGACTGGAATAACATTCACTTTGTAGTTGCATACTTAAATACAGGAAATCACACAAAACAAGATAAAAGTTTGGCAAGAAACAATAGTAAAAAAACATCGTCACCATCAATAACAACAAAAAAATATAGTGCAGTTTCAAATGAAGGTAGGCAGATCATAAACTTATACAGCATAATTCGAATCCAATCTTTAATTTTTTAGGATACAGCAGACTTTTTCCAATTTGTGTGGGTTCATCTGCATAAAACTTTAAATATATTGCATTTTCATTTCCATTTTTAATAGATCACAGAATCACAGAATCAAAGAATCACAGAATCACAGAATTGTAGGGGTTGGAAGGGACCTCCAGAGATCATCGAGTCCAACCCCCCTGCCAAAGCAGGTTCCCTACACCAGGTCGCACAGGTAGGCATCCAGGCAGGTCTTGAACATCTCCAGAGAAGGAGACTCCACCACCTCCCTGGGCAGCCTGTTCCAGTGCTCCGTCACAGAATCACAGAATCACAGAATCACAGAATACAGAATCACAGAATCACAGAATCACCCAGGTTGGAAGGGACTTCAAGGATCATGTAGTTCCAACCCCCCTGCCTAGCAGGGCCACCAAACACACACATTCAGATCAGGTTGCCCAGGACCCCGTCCAACCTGGCCTTGAACACATCCAAGGACGGGGCATCCACAACCTCTCTGGGCAGCCCGTTCCAGGGCCTGACCACTCTCCTTGTAAAGAACTTCCCCCTAACATCCAACCTAAATCTTCCCTCCCTCAACTTGGATCCATTTCCCCTAGTCCTGATGTTATCAGCCCTCTTGAAGAGTTTACTCCCCTCGTGGGTGTAGGTTCCCTTCAGGTATTGATAGGCTGCAATGAGGTCACCCCGCAGCCTTCTCTTCTCCAGGCTGAACAAGCCCAACTCCCTCAGCCTGTCCTCATAGGGGAGGTGCTCCAGCCCCCTGATCATCTTAGTCGCCCTCCTCTGGACCCTTTCCAAAATCTCTTTCTTATACTGAGGGCTCCACACCTGGACACAGTACTCCAGATGGGGCCTCACAAGAGCCGAGTAGAGAGGGACAATCACCTCCCTGTCCCTGCTGACCACCTCTCTCCTGATGGAGCCCAGGATCCCATTTGCCTTTCGAGCTGCCAGAGCGCACTGCTGGCTCATGTTCAGTCTCTCGTCCATCAGGACCCCTAGGTCCTTCTCTGCCGAGCTGCTCTCAAGGACCACTCCTCCCAGCCTGTACGGGTGCCTGGGGTTCCTCCGGCCCAAATGCAAAACCTTGCACTTTGCCGTGTTGAACCTCATTAGGTTCACCCGAGCCCAGCCCTCCAGCCTGTCGAGGTCCCTCTGAATGGCATCCCTTCCTTCCACCGTATCAACCGTACCACTCAGCTTGGTATCGTCAGCAAACTTGCTGAGGGTGCACAATTCCCTCATTGATGTCATTAATAAAGATGTTAAAGAGCACCGGTCCCAAGACAGACCCTTGGGGGACACCACTTGTTACCGGCCTCCACCTGGACATAGAGCCATTGACCACCACCCTCTGTCTGCGGCCTTTCAACCAATTGCTTATCCATCAGGATAAGCACCTCACTGTAAAGAAGTTCTTGCGCACATTTGTGCAGAACTTCCTATGCTGCAGTTTCCAGCTGTTTCCCCTTGTCTTGTCTCTACTCACCACTGAGAACAGTCTGGCCTCGCCATTCTGTCCCCCACACCTCAGATATTTATAGACCTGGATCAGGTCCCCTCTCAGTCTTCTTTTCTCAAGGCTGAACAGACCCAGTTCACTCAACCTTTCTTCATAGGAGAGATGCTCCAGGCCCTTCACCATCTTTGTGGCCCTCCACTGGACTCTTTCCAAGAGATCCCTGTCTTTTTTGTACTGAGATACAAATCAACTGATTTTTTCATAAACAATGGGATTCCCTACCATTTGTTTTTTTTTACCTTATAGTAGAATAAACAATTTCTTCAGCATTACTAGGTATATGTAAGGGATAGTTTTAAGTGAACAATTTCAAAATTGAATTTCAATTTTAATAATTCCATCTGGATTTCCAAGGTCCACACCTAGGAGTATAATATATACCTTTACTCAGAGTTCCAACCTTATTAAATGTGGAGAAATTCCGTCCCTCAAGGCGGCTTCCCTTATTTATTTATTTATTTATTTATTTATTTATTTATTGGATTTCAGGCTATACTCATTAATTCCAGAGGTTCTTTAGACTATACATAGGAGCAGGATGTAAGCAAGATCAGTCAGTCAGCATTTATATGTCCATGCAGTAATACATAGTTTATTGGTATAACCTGGACTAGGTTAACTGTCTAAGTATACTTAAAATGAGAGATTGGTGTATTTAGTGATTCTTTAATGCTAGTCTAATCTAGATTTCAAACAGTTCAAACAGTAAAAATTGTCATCAAGGAGCTAACATATACTTGAATTCCTACAATTCTGTGATTCTGTGAATATGATCAACAATAAGAAGCTGAAATCAATAAAAAAACAATTAAGCTTTTCCACATTCCATGCAACTAAGTATGTGCAATGCAGTACATTATTTCCTAAAACAAAAATATTGACTTGAAGTTCTTTGCCTAATTCTCCAAAATACAACTATATAAATCATTAATTAATTCTCCTATTCTCAATTTTGGACAACTATCACATTTCATTAGGGAAAATATCTCCTATATGATTTGTACGAAAACTCCCAGCACTTCAATTTAAATATTTATTTTTAACCATAGAGGCTTTGCTGTAATATAGGCAAGAAGAATCATTACTGTAAAACAAATTTCTTACCTCTGATGGATGTCCTACTCTTACAAAGGTACAAACTGGATCAAAAGCTCCTGTTCCACAGGCCAGAAGATGTGTTCTATTGTATCGGTGAAGGACACGGATGTAATTAGCACATTCATCCTAGTTCACATAAAGTGTAAACATAGGAAAATCTTAGCATTTCCATTAAAAATGATAAAAAATAAAATAACTTTTTTTTTTTTTTTTTTAATATCTTAGGTATCAGATGATGCTCTTCATACTGAGAATTTCTTTTCTGTTATTTATAAAATTTTAGTTCTCCTACTTTATACTACTACTTCAGTCTCACCAAATCCATGAATGGACATTTACGACATGTTTAAAAGGAAGTTTAGAGCTCTGATTTATCACAATTTACTATAGGCACTTAACTAGTGAGGAGTGATTAAATTATAAAACATATTTTGCACTTCTTCAACCTTGGATACATTTCACAAATCTAGATATTTGTTGCATTAGCTTTTATTATATGCAGTATGTATTAAAATGAGAGCAGGATATATGAACAGTCAACAAATGGCTTATTCATCAAGTTAAATGAACTTTTTTTCAAGGAAGTAACACTTTTATTTTATTTTTCCATAAGACTACTGCATTTGTGTGTATGTTTGTGTAATGCATTGCTAATCAATACTTTTTATATTGTGTAGCCTCATGCTTTTTTAAGTTCCACCATTCAAGTCTTCCTTTGAAGAAGAAATTATTCAGTTTCCTGAATGCAATACCCTGGGACTCATTAGTGTATTTGCAGCTTCATAAATATTACAATTAACAAACTTACAAGCATTGTTTTGAGTTGTGGGGTCATTACAATTCCTTTGCTGAACTAGAAGCAGAGACTGAATAAAATTATTTATTTTGGGGCTCCACTGACTTGGTTTATCAGGGTTTTTATCATTATGTAGTATTTTCTGTGTGTGAAGAAAAAATTCTATTCATTTTCTTTCGTTGTGTGATCTTTCTATTACTCAGACCATGGGTTTTAAGATGTTAATACCAAGTTTAAGGCAATTGTAATGAGATTAATCTCATCTAACTGTAGCCATTCTGAAGTTTTTTGTTCTAACCTTTGCTTTTCTTTTAGACTCTTTCAGTAGTCAATAAAGAAGCTCACATATCTCCAAAAAGCAAATAAGTCTATCCTAAAATTATTTTGTAAAAGAGAGTGGAGGAATTTCATTGTGGAAACTTTTCTCTTCTTCAGTTTTCAGGCTATATGAGAAAAATCTTGGGTTTTAATGTCCATCTGCAAGAGGTTAATGTCCCAAAGAATAACTTTATAGTGGAGCCATGGGAAGAATTTGTGTAGCTACATTAGATACAAAACTAAGAATCTGCCTTTTTTTTTTTTTCTTCAGTCCTTTGCATCATTCAATGCAAGTGTTTAAATTTATGAAACAAAAAGAGCAAAAAACATAAAATAAAATAAAACCTCATATGGAAAAACTATCCTTTGTAATATGTTTCTACTTAGCCTTTAAGTGAGAGGATATGTCATGGCAATTGAGAGTTATTTTTGCCAATAGGATGTTGGACTCAAACATAAAGGTTTAAAATGAAATAATGGGGAAAAGAGAGTTACTAGCAACCCTGCAAGTGAGTGATGGACAAGGTCAATGAACATGGGCATATAGTGATGTGACAGGAATTGCAACACAATATCAACAAAAAGGAGTCACCTTCAGCACTTGAATGCAAGTTCCGCACTTGAATGTCAGTTCCGCACAAACATGCGCAAGAACTTCTTTACAGTGAGGGTGACGGAGCACTGGAACAGGCTGCCCAGGGAGGTGGTGGAGTCTCCTTCTCTGGAGATGTTCAAGACCTGCCTGGATGCCTACCTGTGCGACCTGGTGTAGGGAACCTGCTTTGGCAGGGGGGTTGGACTCGATGATCTCTGGAGGTCCCTTCCAACCCCTACCATTCTGTGATTCTGTGATTCTGTAAGCAAGGAAGTATCTACCAAGAACCATTGGGGAGAAACCCAGCATGCTGGAGTGCCTCTCCACTCCTGTATGATAATGCATGCAGTATGAACAATAAAGATGATGTTAGGGATGTGCATGCAGTTGCAATAGTATGATGTTCCTGCGATCATGGAGATTTTGTTGGATGGCTGGAGGGACCATTGCAATGGGAGGATGCAGGCTTTTGGAGGAGGATAGAAAGGGGGTCTGTTGCAGGAGGTGAGATAAAGGGGTGTTGTCCTTTATGTGAGAGAGCATTTAGAGCGCATTGAGTTCTGCTTGGAGATGGATGAGGAGCCAACTGAGAGTTTATGGGTTAAGATTAAAGGGAAGACAGGGGTAGCTGACATTATCACTCATTCATTCTCTAGGCGACATGAAAAATTAGAATGAATAGGTGAGGCTTTCTGCAGACAGATAGGAGCCTCACATTCGTAGGACCTGATTCTGGTAGGAGACTGGGCATCTGTGCACCAGCTACTTTTTTATGTGTGCCTGCTTGACCAGGGTGGGGTGGATCAGCTGTCTTTCAGAGTTCCCTTCCAACCTGTCATTCACTGAATCTTTGAAAGAAGCAGGAAACCTACACAGGTGTGTAACCTGTTGTATAATTAAATATGTATATGCAGAGGACAAATAAAAATTGTTTAATATCATAAGTTTCTGGAAACTTTTTTTTTTTTTTTTAAGTCTTTTTCTATGTGGTCTCTCACCTGGTCAGGATTTTTAGACCCACTGAAAAAAAGCCCTAAATGTCAGTTGATAGAGAAATAAATGAGTTCAGATCAGTGGGATGACATAATCTATACATCAGTTAGTACTCAAAGACAGAAATACCCATTTCACTTGTGCTTCACAAATGTTTTCTAACCAGCAGCAGTGGAATGGCAACAAAAAGGATGCTTAGTAATTTTTAAATAGGTGCTTCACTTGGCACTGATGCTCTTCCCTCTGTCTTCCCTCCCTGCCAAAGTATGACCTTCCTGACTCATAGCCCTCTGTTCTGCCTCTATGCTGTTGTGCTTTTTTATCCATGGTTTCCTTTTGTTATCCACATATCTCTTCATCTTTGTCTCAAAAGAGCTTTAGAAGGAGAGAGATCTTAGGATTATTTTTCTCTCTTCATGGGTTATTTTTTTTTATACGTGTCTTCATAGAAATGCCTGACATTTTCTGCAGCTAAAAAACAGAATAAGAGAGACACCAAATATAGAAAAACTAATTCCAAATGGCTAGGCTTTATCAAAATTATATACAAGTTGGAAAAGGTGCTATTCTGGGAACCATCAGACAAATAGTTTTTGCTGCTGGCCCCTCTGATAATATCCTATACACGTAAAAAGGAAGAGATGCATCACGCAGGAGAACATTAAAATAAGTCATCTTCCTACTTCCTATTTAAACAATTAAATATTCTGGTTATCTTTAGGAGACTTCTTAGATGCATTATTAGATCAGTGGAATTTTATTAATCTGAAGTTTCTCGGTGTGAAAGTTAGTCGTAACAACAGAATTTGATTTTTATTTCTGAATGATTTCCAGTGCTGATAAACTAACTGAAAGGATCAAAAGCTCTCACACTACAGGCCAACAGGTGTGTTTCCTGGCACGCTGGATGAAAGTTTTCTGAAACTGTATTTATGACTACAGTACTTGAAGTTTTACTGCTACAATATCTACTGATAACCTTATACAGGTTGTAAAAGCTTATCAAATTGTCCTGTTGTTTAACTTCAGTATGGCTACTAAAGAATGTATAAAGTTTCTCAGCACTGAAATGCTTATTACATATCAGTCTTGCATAATATTATTTGCACAGTACCAGATATTTTGCAAAGGAAAATAAAGAAGGAAATAGCATGGAAATAAATAAGAGGTCTTTGAATGATAATTGATGAGTTGTTTTTTGTTTTTTTGGTTTTTTTTTTTTGTTTTTTTTCTCAGAGACTTTATATTGTGAAAAATAGAATTCTAAACTTACAAATGTCAAACTGTCGATTTTAAGTTATAATGCCATTAAGCCAATATTCATTTATTCATTTATGGTTATTAAAAAAAAAAAAAAGGAAGATGAAAAGGCAAATAATAGAAAATGTTTTGTTCAATGTAGCTTCTTTTCAGGTTGAGCAATACACTAACTACTGAGCATGCTAATGAAAATTACTAAGCATTCCCTGGAATTAATTAGCTGCACCCATTCAGTTGTCCCACACATAAATTAGGAGTCACACGGGAATCAGAATATAAATTGATATTGTTTGGTATTAAAATATTTACAGCTTTCACAATTTTAATGGATTTTACAATTTTAATGTATTCTGGAGTCTTGTTTTTTTTTTGTTTTGTTTGTTTGTTTTTGGTTTTGTTTTGTTTTGTTTCACTTTTGTTTTTGTTAATTCTGTTCTTTTCCTTTTAAAAATCAGGGCACCTGACTTCCACATTACATGGGAAATATGGGAAACTTGTTAATTTTTTAAACTATCACATTCATTCCAGTGCATATTTGAAGGTACACTAGCAGACTGGATTTTAAAAGATCTCAAATTTTAGGGAATCTCACAAGTCTGAGGGGGAAAACTTTACATTCCATTGGAACACCCATAACTATTTCTGTGTTTATTTAACCCAAATAATATTTTCGAAATATAAGAAAATACATCTAACGTGTAGTGTTGAAGGAAAGGTGGCAGGGTTCTAACAGTAGTAACAACTTATGGCTAGGGATCATATTAAATAAAACTGAAACAATTTCTGTTTTTGATTCATTTAATATGACCATGAACTCAAGACAATATAGAAAATCACTATATTCAACCAAAGGCACCTGAAAATCTCAAGGCTCCAAAAACATCCAGAAAAATGCAATGAACTACTAATATAAGTACAAAACGATCAGTTCTAAGCCAGGATAGTGTGAGGAGTAATGTACTATGCTGTTTTTTTTTTATTATTTTTATACTATTTTCCATCTGATTCGCCCATTCTGTTGATGTGGACATTTCAAGAAAAAATTATATTGCTTCCTAGACTTCACTCTGAATATGTGGTGGTTATCATCAAGGCTGTTTGTTTGCTGTGCTTTTGTGGAAAGCATTTTGCCCATTGATGTTTCTATCACTGTTGCTGTAAAACTATCGTCATTATCAAATTGGTGTGAGCTCTTGCAGCTGTGAGATTTACTAGGTGTCTTATGCGCTTTGTTTTTATGAGTTGCAGATAATGAGCTTGGTGCACTGCAAAATTATAAAGAGCTTCCATCCAGAAGAACTTTCATCCTGTGGTGTAAATGATACCAGACTCTGTGTATTGGTGAGCTTTCATGTCTTTTTCTGGGAAATGATTAAAGTTTAAGCATTGAATCACAGGAACAGTAGAGCTTCTGGGTTCATTAAAATACAATATTTATATTGGTATGTCAGAAAAGCCTGCGGAGCAAAAGTACACTTTATAACTACTGATAATTTTGTTACTTTTTTAATGTATTCTAGAGATTCTAAATTTTAAAAATGATTTGGAATGTGAAAAAGTTTAAACACAGAAGGTAATCTATGTGTATGAAAAAAAAGAGAAAAAGAATTGGGAGAAGGGAATTACTAAGGTATCTTCCTTGATATCATTAGAAAAAAACATTAGGAGAAAGCTCAAATGATCAAAATGTTCATTGCCTTTTTATGAGCTGCTTTGAAAAGCAATTAAACTAATAATTTAGTATATTCTTGGTTGTTACACAATTTTAAGCATCTACACACAATTATGTCTCTGTTTTGATCTGTCTGAAAGTTAGACATTCCTGAGTCCTTGTTTTGGATCAGCAGAAGCTATAATTAAAGTATATTTGACTTATATTAGATGATACTTACAGCATCTCTTCCTTTAATTATGCATTCTTCTGCTTGAAGAGGTGTACTAGGCCAATGGATCTAAAAAAAGAAAACAAATAAAAATAGAAAGTAGTACAATTTGTAGTCTGATGTTAAAATTTTTCCACTGTTTTTCATATGAGACTCTTTTATTGTATGTTATTACATTTAATCGAGCTTCTATTACATTTTGATTTCAAGCCAAATAATTACCCTCTAAACATCTACATAAGTGTACAATAATGTAATAGATATTTTGTATCATGAAAGTTTTGCTTGGGCTAACTCAGCTAAATTAATACTAGTAAACAGAACATAAACAAAATATATTAGACAATTTATATAACTTCAGTAGAAATGTTGATAAATCATCAGAGACTTCCAACAATTTCCCATAAAGAATTAATTTTGAACTACTGATTTTCTGCTTTAAGTGGCACTTAGAAAAGAAACTGGCTTATAGAAGGTCCTTATTTGCCTTCTAGGAGTAAGATCAGCTCTTCAGAGTCTATTGCTGAATGCCAAATTATGCAAGTAGAATTTTTTTTCAGTTATCTATTGTATAAAATTTATTTTTCATTACAAATGCATAATGTGTTTGGATCAAAACAATGTTAAACAATGACTGAGCAGACTGGAATGATTATTTCTTAGAATTTTTAAAAGTAAAAAAAAAAAGTTCACTTCAGTGATATCTGGCTTGGCTGAAATCAAGTAAGTGTGAAAAATTGTCTCAGCAATAAGACATTTTTGTCAGTAGTGTTACTGTTGTTGTTCTAAATTAATTCCTTCTTCTCTTAAACTTTTTTGTTCAGTTGTATTAATCGAGCTTTCTTGAAGTAATTCTGACACCCAAAAATCTAAGCATTTGTGATACATTGTGGAAGTCTGCTAGAAAGTGCTTGAAATCACCGTATCATAGAATGTTTTGGCAGGGAAAGGGCTTTAAATAGTATCAAGTTCCAATCCTCCTGGCATGGACAGGAACACCTTCCATTAATCAAATTGCCCAAATCTCTGTCCAGTATGCCCTTGAATACTTTCAAGAATGCAGCATCCACTGATTTTATTTTGTGTTGGGTTTTTTCTATCAGTGATGCAAGAGAACGTTAGGAATGAAGACACTGAAAAACCACATCATGAATGAAACACTTGACTCTGTAACCTAATATAATATATATTGTTTGTAGGTGATTATATTTGTATTCGGATACTTAGTCCCAGTGAAATTAAAAATATTTTATATGCATATTCTCCACTTAATGGGTGCTGAATTAGATGCATAAGCACAATTAAGGGAGAGGCAAAACTCCAGGGTATAACTCAGTTTTCACCCCTTGTCTGAAAGTTTGACAACTGGCTGCAGAGTAAGCAACAAGATTTCGTTCCGTAACATTCTGAAGAGAAGTGGGGAATGTGTGCCTCTTGCAGAGGTGAAGGGCTTTGACTCCTGAGTGAATTGCTCTCATCAAAAAGGCTCATGAGCAGCAGGAACTATCCTATATCTCTGAATCTACCACTTCTACTGTGGATCTGCTTTCTAAAGCTGCCTCTTGCACATTGTCTTCTACAATTGAAATCCTGTTTCTGTTGTTGGCTCAGCCATTGCGTTGCCTATTGGGATACATATCATAGCTTGTTGTAGCTAAAGGTGCCTAATGAAAGGATAAATATAAGGGATCATCTCTGTACCTTTTCCAGCAGGTGAGAAGAGGTGTAGAAATCTATCTTGGATGCCTACAGCCATTTATCTATGTCTAAGCCAAACCAATGTTTATAGCCCAAAGTAGTTCCTTACAAGACTTATGAGTCTCAATACAAATAAGCATTACGATTTTGATCTCTTCAAAATTCTTATAGACTACAGGCTAAAAGAAACTGAATTTTCTGTCATAGAAAATTAAAAAAAAAAAAAAAATCAGAAGAAAGCTAATTTATTTATTTTAATCCTGAAAACAGAAAAGCTGTTCAATCTGTCTGCTATGATCATTTGCAAAGATATTGACAGTAAACGGCTCAAGACAGTAACATTATATTAAAGGATATTTGTGTAATTATTTCATTTTTCATTTTTTGGGATAAATGGGATATGTTTGTGCTACATGGATATCCAGATATTAGCCAGCTGTAATGGTAGCCTTTAACATGCCACATGTATGTTTTCCTAATGTTTATCCTTTAGTGTTATGAAAACTACCAACCTTAACTTTGAATTGGCTCTTTGCTAGGATTGAAATCTTTTGGCAAACTGGTGATATCAAGTGTTGGGAAATTTTTGTGTGCATCTAGACTGGAATAGCATCATACTAGCATAGATTTCACAGGGCTGCAAACTTGATCTTTGGTTTGGACATAACTATTCAAAACTTGTCACCACTGCAGACTACTGTGAAGTACATTTTTAAATTGCTTGTTTAATGATAGTTTCTCATCTTGCACCACAAAACTATTATCCTTGAAAACTGGATGGTATAATTCTAGCATTGTATTGAAGGAAAAAAAGCTATGTTTAAAGACAAAAAAGGAAAAAAAAAAAGAAAAAAATTCATAGGGCAGTACAAATGATAGCTACTGAGTAAATTCAGAGGGGAACCAAAATTTAATTGGATCTGGAATCCTAATTAGTATCTCCAAACAGCTTTCCTGTTCAGTCACTGGTCTCAAAAAACAAGATAGCATGTCTAATGAAAGCTAATTTCAGGAAACTATATGAACTTCATAGCACTGTTAGCTAAAATGAACTACTGTCTGAGCTAGACTGAACACTAGAATACTGCAGAGCAATTAAGCAATTCAACCTTCCAGTCATTGTCTTGAATTAGTAAATTGTGCTTAATGAACACACAGATTGTTTTTGTCTGAAATACAAATTCTGAAAAAAATAACTTTTTGTGTGGTAGATGTTATTTGTATCGACATACATATCATCTTAACTCTTGGGAATTAATTCCAGGGAATAATCAAGTTCACTGCTAAATCATGTACTTCTTATTTCCATTTGTATATTTTCCTGTGTGATATTCAAAGGAGATGCAAGCAATGTCTGCTCTTGCAGCCTTCTGTTCAGCCAGCTCTGAAGCTTAGCTCATACACTTAGTTCTACCAGAGAGTAAGAAAGGCATGATATACTGTGGAGATTTTATTGCATTTTGCAATGTCTATATAAATCCTAATCTGAAGTTATCTCATAATGGACCAGAAACTGCACATTGAAAGCTGTCTGCACAAGCTTATGCAGGAATGCTTGTCTTAATAGCAAGCCCTTTGTGAACGCTTTGAAGAAGCTATGATAAACAGCTATCTGTAAAGAGTTTTTGGACATATAGGGAATAATTTCCTTTCTACATGAGAATAAGTAGAATCAACAGTTATCCTTCTCTGTGAGCTGTTAGATCACTCGCAATGAGCTACCAGCATTGATTCATTTGCTGTCGAAAATACTTGCTCTGGTCATCAATAAAATTTACTTTTTAAAATTGGCACCAGATATCAAATAAGTTCTCTATCAGCTTGTTTATCATTACAAGACTTAAATACTTTGGATCAAATCTGAAATATGTATAATGTTTGATTCTAAAAGTGGTGTGAAAAGAAATTATATCTGGAGAGAAAGTAAAGGTCAGGTGGAGGGAACTCTGAAGATTTGCCTTTACACATGGTTTCAAGTACTTGTCTGGCTTTAATTCTCTGTAAATGCTAATATCCACATTTCATAGACAGTAGCTTTGTTTCAAATGCTAATGGTAAGACATACTAAACACTGTAAGCAAGATTTCTGAATACCATAAGCAAACAAATACAAATAAAAACAAATACAAAGTAGGTGGAAGAAATATGACAGGTGAGGAACTAAGATACATAGAAGGACTATGCCATGGTTGAAATCCCTACTCAGAACTCCAGATTTCCCAGACACTGCAACAGGAATAGTTTTCTTCTCTGAGAAATATTTTCCATTTGCACTCATCTTTTCTTTAATGTGTATTAATGCTGCTCTGAACAATATGTGCCTAATATAATTTTGGTATGTGTATACACAAACAATTAATAGTATACCAAAAGAAACCTCTGATCTATCTTTCAGAGTGGTTCTTCATGTCTGACAGCTAAACTGTGCTGAACCTTAAGAAACTTAAATCTGTTTATTAAATGCAGATTTATAGGATACGTATCTCATATAAGATGAGTCTGTTGGAAATGCTGGATTATTTTGGCAGACGATAATTCTCAAAGAAAAGGCATTTTATGTCCACTCAGCATTTTGTTTTCTTCTGGAGAACTCCTAATAATCTTGCTATCTAAGGAACTGCAGGGTCATTTTGTGGCAGAAGAGATATATTTCTGACTGGGAGTGGGGTTTAGTTTGGTTTTTAGAGTGCATGTTTGTATTATAAATTGTAAAAAATATGATGCCAATGGATTAAAACGCATCAACTACTTTCTAGAATGCAAAAAAAAAAGATCAATGAAGTCTATCCAAACATGTCAAATATCTGAAATAAGTGTCTTGCATCCTAGAGAGAGAATAAAACCCAGAAACTTGCCTCCTTCTTATATTTTTGCTAGGTTATAGCTGGTATCTTAGATTAAGTAAACTAAAATCTTCAGTTGGAAAAAAAGGTCAAAGGCTAACCAACACATAGTTAAGGGAAGCTTAATATAAAACTTTGATAATAATGAATCAACATATCTCTTTTTTTTTTTTTTTTCCCAAGAACTTTACTTAGCATATCTCATTAATTAAGCACTAATATAACATAAATGTTTCTTTCTAGACTTTTCCTGATATCGCAGTGGGAAACTTAAATTTTTCCTAGCTACTACTGAATGAGATCTGTGCTGTGTAAACTTTGGGAAAAGAGAAAAGGAATATGACAAGGCAGCTGAGATCCAGTGAGGTCATGTTTCCAAATGTGTAAGGTCAAGCTCCATTTATTTCAGTGTCTTGTCTTTTGCACATCATAAAATCAGGCATGCAGAGCTTCCATTAATTTGTCATGTCCTGTGCACAGATCTCAAGACAGACAATACAGTTTCAGAGTAAAGAGCTGATCTTCTATCTAAAAACAACAAGAAATAGTGTAACGAATTTAAGAGTGTATCCAGATGCGAGAATGGTGGTTGGACAGAAGTGTAAAAAAATTTATCCTATCATCTTTCCCCATACAGATTTTACTACCAGATGGGAAAGAAGAGGAGGAAAGAAAAGCTCATTTTATAAAAATAGCTGCTTCTTGAATGTCTTCATATCATGTCACAGGATATTAATAATTTTTATCAAATGGAAAAGAAGTTTACTTATACCTCACTGTGCAGGAACACAGCTCAATATGTAGTAGTGCACTGCGAGGAGTTAAAAAATGTTGTTTTAATATATTTGATTTAGATAAAATCTCAGATAGTCTCTCTGAGTGTTCCCATTTCTCTACGTTACCTTGCAAGATTACCTTGCTGAAACTGTTTATAAAAAGGATAAAACATATCCTTTCGCAGTCATGGAGCAAATGGAGATAAGAACGGCCCCTTAGTGCAAAGCTGACCAGGGTGTTGGCATGTTAATATGTTATTCACTTACAAGTAGGAGAAAAATAAAAGAATTTGATACGCAAGCCTAGTGATCATTGGAGTACAAAGATTAACAAAAGTCTTTTTTCTCTAGAGTACTTTATTTACCTGCATTTTCATTCATTTAATCATTTGAGAATGAATGAAAATATATCAAAACAAAGAAGAAATTTTAAAAACCAGGAAAACTGAAGTATTTCAAAGCATCTTTTATTCTTAGTCAGCAGGACTGTGGAAAGAGTGGTGGTCCCACAACCTCATTTCACCACCACATGCCTCCAGTCCTATCTACCAAGTGCAGAAGGAAGCCAGAGCCCACATCAACAAGTACTCAAGTCTCTTTACTTCAGTTGCTAGTTTGCCAATCAGCTGCAGTATCTATCATGTACCAAGCTCACTGGTATGATTATGACACGAACCACCCTTCTCCCACAAATCTCTGAGTAGGCTTCAAATGAAATTTTCAGTCACTACTTACCAGCACTGGCTTTTAGCCAGTGATGCATTTTCTAGAGAATTTTCTAGAGGTAGAAAATAATCAAAAAGATTTTTGTTATAGTTTATGTACTTTTCTTGGGGATGAGGGGAGAAGAGGGAGGGTGTATATGTTTGGTGTTTTTTGTGTTTTGTGTTTTTGGTGGGTTTTTTTTGTTGTTTTTTTTTGGTTTTTTTTTTTTGTTTTGTTTGTTATAGTTTTTTTTTTATTTATTTATTTTGCTTTGTTTTTTTTTGTTTTTTTGTTATAGAAAAACTACACTAATAAAAGGGAAAGATCGTTCCTTAGTTACATGTCAGAGATGTAGACACCAGGTGTGTATAAAGTGCTATGTGATATTCTAAATTTTAGTAAACATGCTGAAAAACAGTGAGAAATAACTTTCAGGGTCTCCCAGCTCTCTTCACTGAGAACAACCCATATGAGATGTTCCTGGAAATGAAATGATAATTGATATATTTTCTTACAGACAAACATGACGTTGAAGTTCATGCACAAAATGTCAGTGTTTACAAGAACACCATTATCTCATTTCCAGTCATGCAAACTCTGATATTCTATGCTATGCATTGTAACACAAAATGACGAACATATAACATCTTTTTACTCCACCTCTCGGTAGTTGTTGCTGATTCGATCCAAACTGAGAGAGTACAAGAGGTCTCTTCCTCCCACGAATAGTCGCTCTTGATACTCATCCAGGAGCATTATATGAAGACCAAGATATCCAAACGGGCTATGAAAGACTGACGTCCTGTTTAAGTCCCAGAGCTCTGAAATGCAATCAGAGTGTGCGTGATAAATACCAAAGAGCTTAACATCATGGCTTCATTTTCATATTCTCCTAGGGAACTATACAAGAATTTGTGAGACATTAAAATGCTAATCATACAATCTTTGAGTAAGAAAGAGACACAAAACACCTGGGAACAATTTTCAAAATGAGCCAGCTCTCTAGGAGGCTTGCATATGAATCTTTACATCATAATCATTGTGCTCAATATATCAAAAGGTGAGGATGGGAGAGAGTAAGCTTTCTCAAAAACATTTTCTGAAAAGGAAAAAACACTGCTTGGAACATTAACTGTAAATGTGAAGAAAGGAATGAACAGATGCAAATTGAAAAATTACTGAAATTTTTTTCCTTGTTTTTCACTCAGGCACGTTGAACTGTATGCATATTGTATGCACAACATTGTTCTGCTTTTGTTTTTTGGGGGGATTCCATTGATTTTTTTAACCCCGGCACCATCTCAACTTAGTTCATGGAAAATATTGCCACTAAATTCAGTGAGAAGTGTACAAAGTCTGTGAAATGCATATTCATAATTTTCCAAGTGATTATTGATTTTGTCAGGAAATATGCTAAAGTGTTAAGGCAAGCTGGGGTTTAGCAGTTTATGGTCCCGGCTAAACTCACACAGAGAAAGTGAAATTCACCCTGTGTAATGTTGTAGAAACTTGGAATCAGGCCCCAAGAAGAATGAAAGAGGCAAGCAACCAGATTCTTCTTGAGAGCAGATGATTCAGGGCACAGTCTGGCTTGCAGTTCAGAGAGGCTGACAATCATTGCTTTGGGAAACCTCTAGAGAATTCATTACAGAGAGTGCCCTGGGACTGCCTCAAAAAGAGCAAAGCTGGGTGTGAAGAAAAGGAACTAGGTTCCTTTGGCTATATTGTGATGAATTTTTTTATTTAGAAGAAACAAAAGTCACTCGTGATAAAAGTCAGCAAATTCCCTTCAGTTTATCCTCACAACCATCCTTACTTGGAATAAATTTATCATTCAATAGCTATATTAGTATAAATTTTATCATTTTAATAAGAAATTTAGCATTCATTAAGTAGCTGAATTCAATCCAACAGACACATTTCCACAACTCATTTTCATTTTAAATTATTATTTATATACGTGGTGATGAAGCAGTTTAGTAATTCAGTAAATATGTTTTGTTGTAGTTGACCAAGTTCAGTTCAGGAGAGGTCAAAAGCAACTAGTTTCTTCAAGTGGTTCCCTAGATAATAAAATTTTTATTAAAGGAGTCATGCACCCTCACAACCGGTTTTTTTCCTAAGCTATCTTCAAAAATAATTAAAAATATGTGGAGAACATTTTTAATATCTAAGCTTTCTGTAATATTTTTAAACTGGAGAGGTCAAAACACTTGGCATGTGAGTGTGTCTGTCCTGATTTAAAAAACAGAAAAAGTAAGTTTTATTTGTCTAAACTTAATATACAGACCATTCTTGGCAGTGATGCACCTAGTGCAAGACTGCACAGCAATGAGTAGATGGTGCTTCTCTCACCAAGTAAATCCAACAGGCTGCTGTTTCAGAACATTTCTTGCTTGATATCAAACTAGGAATGGACTAAAATCAGAACTGGAAATAGCCCATTAGTCCCAAATAAAATATTTTTTTAAACATTTGTAAAACATCCAATGTATTTTGTTTTCAAGTTTGTCCAGAAACAAACAAACAAACAGACAATTACACTTCAAAATTCTAGCTATATCCAGCCACAAAAGTACATTGTAGTATCTTCATCTGCTTACTTTCATGCTATCTTGAAGGCAAATTTTTCATAACTGAGACAAAATTTCTTGACGTAGATCAGAGAGATCACTCACCTGTTTTCAATAAGAGTACTAAGCACTATGAATTCGTCTACCTGACTGTGTAAACTGGTAACTACTTGTATAAGAGACAGTCCTGCCAACCACACCTGCACATTTGTCTTCAGTGAACACTGAGAAAATTAAACACTTTTCAAGATCAAACTTGTAAAAAGAGTTATTACTAGCAAAGCCTCCACCAAAGCTATACTGGTGTGATTTTGCTGCGTGTGTTGAGGCCAGAAAATAAGTGACATGTGGAAAGGATTGGAAAACAAACAAGCAGAGAGACCTGGGGAGAAATTTGGTTACCGAAACACCAATGTACTAGTATTAAGTAGCTCCTTTGAAGGGTACTAGGATTTGTGGACTTTGTAGGATATCTATGATAAAAGGTTACAGAACATACTTAATACCAAGATAATAGACTGTGGATCTCTGCATTTTGCAGTGTTGAGATTCTCAGGGAATCATTGAAGTCAAAGCAAAACTGGGAACAAAATACTTAAGTTTAAAGCAGCTTTCCCTAAAGTCTACTCTCAGTTACTTTCAAGAAGCTTATGCTCACGAGACTTGGGCTTCTGGTCATGCCCACATCCTTAATTGAACAGTTCATTTTCCTTGATCATACCTAAATTTGAACATGAACCAAAAAGATGATGTTTTTCTAACTAATCCTAGGATTTAGTAGCTGCAATTATGCTGAGCACATCTAACACACTCACAAGATCAGATATTTCTTCTATTTTCTTTGAAAATCTGGCTACGGAATTGTAATGTTTCCTAATCCTTTAAAAATGTTCTAGAGACTAAATCTGTTACCTAAGAAATTCCTTCTCTAAATGCATTGAAACCCAGATATTCCTCTTTCCATAAAGAGGACAAATCCCAATACTAGCTACTAGATAGGGAAAGATGGATGCTTTCTCCATTTCCTATCGAAGTCATAGAGAAAGATCTTCAGGCTCAGGCAGAGTAAGCAGGAGGAAAGTGATAATGTAGCAGTTAGATTACTTTTCCAGGAAAGATGTTCTGGCCCAAGTGCTCAAAATGGTCTATGCATTTTGTACTAAGCAGTTAATGGATAAAATATATAAACTGATCTAGCAAGTGGTCAGGTCCTCTCACAGGATTGGCTGAGATTATAGCCGAGAAAAGCACAACAATTTATTGAGATTCTATAGATTTCTGTAGCAAAAAGCTCTTTCCCCATAAAGTTCTTATGTCAAAGAGCAAGAGAAAAAGAATAGTTTTTGAGAGATAATGTATTGTTAGTGCTCAACATAGAGGACAAAGAAGAAAAGACCATTCCTATGCCCTTAGGTGAAAATGGACCTTCACAATGGCTCAGAGCTATCATCCCCATATTTAGGAAAATGTTATTTAGTTATTGCACTATAGTGATTTTCCATTTTAATGTAAAAGTTCTATACCAGAAGTAAAAGTGCACCACTAAAATATCAGTGTTATTTTACTTCACAAAGAAATAACAGCTTCAGCATTTACATATTCTGTGATATTCATGTAAATCAGTGCATTTACAGTGAGATCCTTAAAGCAAGTCTGGGCTGCTAGATTATGTTTCACAAACGCACTACAGTATCTATGAAGAACAAATCTTGTTATTTCCTGCTTTAAATGTCGAGAATAAACCTGCAGATTTCTTGTCTGTCTGCCAATGCTTGCTGGCAAATATTCAGACTGATCTTCTTTACTGTACTTTTCCTTAAACAAATCTAATCCAGTGAACATATTCACATTATATCCTTTTGACAAGAAGGACTGTAGTTATTTGTTACGCATTGTTTGTTACATTTGTAATATCTGATTTTTTAATTTTTAATCTTTAGCATATAATTCTTTTAAAAATTGTGATAGAAGTTAATCCTTTATTTTTTTAAATAATTTTATCATTTTTATTCTGTCAAGATTTTTTTTAATGTAAGTGATAGATAACCAATATATAATTAGGACATTAAATGCAAAAAAAGTTGTTACTGCTTCAAAGTAGCTAGAATATAGTGAATTATCTTGTATAGCAGGTAACATTTTATCAGAAATTAAAAACAGAGGGAAGAAGACATATCTTCATATATGGGATACAGATAAATATCAATTCAGATATATACTTTTTTTTTTTCAGGTTGTGAAAAAGTTGCTGCTGTTCTGCTCTGTTCTCTGCAGCATTACATCACCACAACTGTAAAGTTGCTCTTGCCCTTTTTTGCCCTCACGAAAATCTTTGATTCCCCTTTCAAATTTTACAGAGATAGAGCCTCACCTCCCACACTGCTTAATTCTGTAGAACGTTCTTCTGGTGAAGATGTTATCCAGGTGCAGAGCACTGACAGATGAGTCTGGCACTTTGAACTTGTTGAGTACGTGATGTGGACATCTCAGTGCAGCTTTACAGGAAGAGGTAGCAATTGTCCCCATCAATATTATAAAAGGCCAGAAATATAAAGTCAAAGTAATATGAACACCTGAATAACATTTCATGTTTCCAGTGAGCAGCATAGTCCTAGACTATAAACATTATAGTGGAACAGATTTTTTAAGAATTTAGTGAGCTTTATTGAATTTCAGTTGATTCAGCTTTTTATTACATAGCTAATAACAACCAAAATCTGCTTACATATAACAAGAAAGGAATATAAACAAAACAGAGGAAAAACAAATAAAAAACATACAGAGACAGCCTGAAATATCTGTAACAGTTTATGAAACACAGATTAACAATAAGATCAGGCTATGCAAGTATCCTGCAGTTTAAACCACAAGTACTTAAAATAGGTTACTATCCAAGAGTACTTTGAAGAGTCATTCATCACAAGGACAAAAATATAATCTTACAAGTGGTTGGATAATTCTGACAAGGTTAAAACCTCTAAATGGCAATATTCCATGTAGAATTGTTAACAGGAGGCAGAAATGTTCTTCCCTAGGGAAAAAATAGAGATGGAAACTCACCTCAAAACTATTCTGCTGAAGATGAGCTAATGCATTAGCAATTTTTACTTTCCTGAGCTCACAGTCATCAGTCATCTCTGTTACTGCAAAACTGATTTCAGTCAGGACAATGATTGCCATGTAGCAGAGAGAGATGCTAACTCAGGTGAACCATTAAGCATTAGAAAAGGAACAGTGTAAATTGTCTA